ATGGTTATGAGGTACTACGTCAAAAGGAAAATATATCCATCATATCTTTAGGCATAATAAAAAGGGTAGTTTTCAAAAAGAGAGTACAGATGAATGAGTTCATTCATCATTTTTAAGAATGGACATTTGTGAAGATTTGTACGCATTTTTTAAGAATAGATTGTGAGGGACTGGAGAAATGACTCCTTGGTTAAGAGCATTTGCTACTCTTATTGAGGACTGGGGATTGGTTCCCAGCACCCACATAGCAATTAACAACAGTTTATAACTCCAGTTCCAAGGAATCCAATGTCCTTTCTGGCCTCCACGGGTACTGTACACACATAGTGCACTTACATATGTGCAGGTAAAACACTCATTCACATAAAATAAAAATAAAATGATTTTTAAAAAAGAATAGATTGTAATCTATATTATTGTTGTTTTCCATGATGTATTGTAGAAATAACATATAATATCCAAATTGTATTTGGACATGTATGGCAGGGGAAAGGAGCTAATGAGGAAATAATGTATTCAGTCATTTGCTAGTATTTAACAAGTGGCAGGAGGAGAAGGGAAGGCCTGCTGTGGTATTTACAGAATTCTGTGCTATAAATGCTGCCAGTATTATTCATTTCCAGCTACTGATGTGATGTCACTGAAAAGACAGTTGCACACCATTCTGTTACACAATATTTTCATGGTACAGATGCAACATATGTAATAGTATATAGTATATTTTTTCATTTTATTTTCAACACTAACTTTTTTAATTTTTTTATTATTATTTGATGTGCATGCATGTATTGCCTGCATGAAGGTAAGTGCACCCCTGTCGTGCAATGTTTGCAGAGGACAGAAGAGGCTGTCAGATCCCCCAGAACTGGAATTACGGACAGTTGTTAGCTGCCATGTGGTGGGCTGGGATTCGAACCTGGGTCCTCTGCAAGAACAGCCAGTGTTCTTAACCACTGAGCCAACTCTCCAGCCTAGTATATAGTATATTTTAAGAGTATAGTTAATACTAAAATGTACAAACCACTAGAATGCTGTGATCTTATAAATGCATTTTTAAAAACTTGGAAAAGAGCCATTAATTTGATAATATTAATCCTATTCAGCTGTAAACTGATGAATCACACTTCTTTTATTCTTCGAACCCTATTTATCATCTGAATATTTTCACAACAAACATGTCAGTCTTAAAATACACGTCATCTTTATGATCAGAAAAATAATAAATTATCCTCTTATTTGCTAGAACCTAAGGGGAAATCAGAGACCATTACTTTTCTAAATTTTGCTAAAATAAAACACTTGTCCAGACAGACTGTGATTTTTAATGTGACCAATGCTTGTATCAATTAAACTGCATCATTATTCATTCTATGAGGAAATGAACACTGATATTTCTAAATTATTTCACAAAAAAAGAAAAGAAAAAGAGCAACACCAGGATTTGTATGGATGTGAGCCTCCAGGTAGCCTGATAGTCTCATTTTACAAAGAAACAGTCCCAAGATGGGCATTTTCCCAAAATGAGCCCTACAAGGCAGGTATAAGGTAATCAGAGCCTCTCCATTTAGAAATGGTCTCTATAGAAAACAAAACTGTATATTTCTCTAGCTGTTAATTAATGAAACGATGAGATCATTTTTTGTGGGGCAGTGTTCATTCAAGTGATTAATTATGTAGGTATCAACTCCTCCTTTGTTTAGACAATAATAGCTTATAAGTCTGCAAAATTGTTCCTTCTCAAACATTTTCACATAGATGTTCTCAGTAAATCCTCCTTTGAACTGTGTCAGAGAGGTAGGGTAAAAAGGCCCGCTCATGTTTTATAGATAAAGATACTGGGGCTAATGCAGGCAAGGGGCTAGCCCAGAAGGCTAGCACATGTGCCCTGGACATCTTTTGGAACACTTACAGACGCATCATCTGGGTGAGCCTTCTCTGAAAGTTGCTTTCTTCCCTACCCTTCTTTGTCCTCCCAACAAACTCTCCCTTCCTTTGGTACCTGTCTTATTTTTGCTTAGCCATGTTACTCTCAGGTCTTATTGCTTTAATTCTAGGATGGAAGAACTCCAACCATTTATCAGTCTGAAAATATTTATCTTCTTTAATATGAGGGCTAACACCACCCAGATTGTTATTTTTTCTTGAAAGCCATTTCTGTCTTCAGATGAATTACAGTTGCAAATGTCCAAACTTGTGGTGTTTACTTAGAATCTGTAAACACTTTGGTGTGACACATTTCTATACAATCCTGGTTTTCTAAAAGGAATAAGCCTACAAGTCAGAGAAGACAAACCTATTTGGGAAATACAAATTATACATAACAGAACAGATCGTAGGGAATCTAACACCTGTTATTCTCTTCTGCCTTGAGTTATTACAAGAAAAAATATGTCCTGTTAAGAACATAGTGTTAAAGAGGCTTCTAATGACTTGTTCAGCTGCCTCAGAGAGGCTTCCTCACGCAGCAGAGTGACAAACACAGAAACCCAAAACTGGCCAAGGTACAGAGAAAAAGAGATCGCAGAGTGCTTAACCCTGAATGGGACACACGTATCAAACTTCTGCCTCTAGAGGCTCAGAGCACATTGTGGAAGAGGTGGCAGAAAGATTGTAAGAACCAGAGGTTGTGGAAGACCTCAAGGAAACAGAATTTTCCAGACAGCTAGGAAGTTAGTTATTTGAACTCACAATTGTGACAGCATGCACAAGAACCATGTAAGCTCAAGCCAGATAAAATCCTATCATAGACATGGGGAAGTGGGTAAGAAACCCCAAACCTACCTGAGGAGCTATTGGAAACTAATGGTTGCTGGGAAGGGGAGAGTCAGTCTCTTTTAAGCGTGTGACTCTTGGTAGGTTAACCAAGCTCCAGTGAATGAACCCACACCAAAAGACATTTGGGGACACAAATCTGACTCTATACCTGCCTTTATATATATAATAGAGCATGTGAAATTGGGAGGAGTAAGGGAAGTCTATACAGGGAAGAGACTCCAGATACAATCAAAATATATTATGTGAAATTCACAAAGATTCCCTTTTAAAAAGAAAAAGAAATGCAGTGTCCTCAGAGAAAACTGAAAAGGTACCAATAGACCAAGTTCAGATCCAGAGACAGAGCTACCAACTTCACTTGCCTATGTGACGGCCCAGCTCTTAGACCTACTGACTGACACAACCTAAGGAAAATTCCTTATACATCAGTTTGCCATCTTTAAAATTGAAATTCTAGCATCTACCTCACAGGGTCATGGGAAAAGCTAAATTAGCCATGAAAAGACTTTGTATACCAGAACTCAGTATAAAATGTATGTGTATATATAATATTCATACTTTTGAAGCTCACTAAGTTGAGCGAGAAAAAATAAGCAGCACCAGGCAGTGACCAGGTTCCCGCAGGCAGAACAGGACAGGGCATCGTATGCATACTAATGCTGCAACGACTGGCCAAATTACTCCTCACCAAAAAACAGTGCCCCTTCCCCAGCCAAGGCAGTCAGCTTGGCTTGCAGCTGCATACAAAACCAGGCTCTTCCCCAATGCCTTTGGTGGTGCCGTAATAAAGATGAACTGTTAACAAAATTGCTTTATCTGGGGCAATTTGTTAGGCTAGGAAAGAGGTAGCAGCCGCCTCTTCAGCAAGATCTTCAAGAACTCAGATATGTAACAATGTTTCAAAGACAAATTATAGTATAAATGAGCAGAGGGGGAAAGGAATGTGTGTGTTTATAAATAAGGGAGGAAGGAAAAAGTATCTCTGTAGGAAAAGGGGTCTCTAGATTCTGGTGAGAGCCTCCAAGATAAAGATAAAAAATTCAACTTCAATCTCTCAAGGAAACACTTTGGAGGAAAAGGATTCACAGCCAACATGAGGCCAGAAAGTCATTTCTGAGGACATTTGGGTAGGACTTTGAAGATAATTGTTATGTAATATATAAACCTGAACAAAGCAGGGACATGGTTTTAAAAGCCATCTGAATTAAAGTGCCCCTCATTTCTTTATAATTTTTTCAGCTTTGATAGAAGGGATCTACTCTGGAAGGTCCAAAAATGTTGTTGCTATAGAAACAGGTAAGCAGATTAAACTTGAAAGACCAGTTTTAGAACAAAGAATTTAATAGTCAGGAGTCAAGCAATTAACCAAGAAAACATTTGAAGTAAATATCTTTCAGGTTTGTTATTTGTATATTAATTCCAGGAAGATAAAATGCTATTATAGAATGAGAGCATCACATTTTAACATTTTAATTGCATCATTACCAGCATAAAAGACTGTGCTTACACAATTAGCAGAAAGACCTTATTAAACAGAAGTATGAATCTCAAACTCTCTGTTGATTACATTGTAATTGAGAAATATCACTTTAAATTCAACAAGAACAGAGTCATCTTAGGTTTTCTTACAGTTTCCAGGATAAGAGCACATCTAAAATTAAAGAGACAATGAACTACAGAAAGTTTTCTGTAACCGATCATCTATAATGAGGGAGCTACCAGTAAAATTTTAAAAATAAAAAGAACAAATATGTGCAGGCTGATAATTGTCAGTATTTCATGTGTCTTCCCTGTCAGGCAATCTCAGCAAACAAGGTTTGTGAGAAGGTGAAAGACCCAGCCGCCTGTTGCCTGTTGGTGTTCTGCCTTTCCTAATAATCAGGGAATAGGAATGCTCCTTACCTCAGGGACTTCTGAAATGGAAGTTTTGCACAGACCTTGCCATACTGGTGGAAGCCAAAAACAAGTTATCAAGCAGCCTTGTATGCCTCCCCCATTCTGTTTTATTTTGAAAACAATCTTGATACAAATGAATGCAATATTTTCATTCTACCAAATTTTTGCTGTTAAAAGTTATATTTATGGAACAGAGAGATTGCTTGCCCATTATCTCTTCTCCTGTAACCCCAGAGACTATATGCAGAAAAGTATAAGTGCGCTTATGTGTGTGCATGTGTGGGGCTGGGGAAAGGGTTGGGAAGAGGGGGTCGTAGTTAGAATCTTACCATCTCGTTTTCGTCTCCTTCATTGAGCACAGCATGCTGGCCTCTCTCAAGGTGGTCCCCCATGGAAGCTTACTTCCTGACTCCTGTTCCCTGGCTTTTCTGAGCACACCTCCAAGATGCACAGCCACCTCCGGACTACTAAATGAAAGAGTTAATGATCTTCCAGGTTAAGAACTCCTTGAGCACACACCTTCCCTCAGCAAATGATAATACTTAGGAAAGTGAGCTCCTCCCCCCGGCACCCTGTGCCAGGAGGAATTTTTGGCTGCTCCCCTCTTCTGCATTCTCTCAGAGCAGCTGTCTCAAAGGAGCCGCTCCCATGCCGATCTTTTTGTACCCAACTTACAGAAAAGGACTTGTTGCCTGCCCAAAGGCTGCCAGCGTGAGACATCTGACTGCAAATGCAACAGGACAACGAGGAGTTGGCAGGACCTTCAGGAGGAGCGGGTGCGAGAACTCCCAGGTCGCTGCTTTATTCCCAGGAGCTGAGGGTGTTGGAGACTCACAGAGCTGCGCTTTCATTTCCTTCATTGAAGCCCTGTCCACAGGTTTTCAATACCACCTTCACTCATTTTGCTTGCAGTTGGTACAAATTATTCCTAATCCCCTTCAAAAGGTATTTGTAATCGCACTTTGTTATGCATGCAAAAAATATTCTACTTAATGTGTGTGGAATTGGGCTTACTTTAAAAAAAAAAAACTAAAAAATAAATAAAGGTATAGTCAAACTAGTCTACGTAGTCATATGCTCAGATGTTGGCCGTTAAACTCTTAAAGATGTCTAGAATAAAATACTCAAATAACCAAACAACAAACCCCATTTTTTATTTGCACACAAGTTTTTCAATAAATTGGTTTGAGCATCGGGACTATGTTTAAAAAGTCAAATCACCGTGGTGATGCTGAGGCTGATGTAAGGATTCTAATACATGAATAAGTCTGATATGCAGCTGTTTTTCATTGTAAGAGCTGAAGCTAAGTCTAAGATAGCTGGAGCAAGTCCCAGGGCAGCGGGGAGAAGCACAAATCTATTCTAGCTCTGGAAGAAACACAGATTTCAGCCTCACGTAGGAACTGGGCTTGCTGTGTTATCTTTAACATACAAAAACTGACTTTCTTTGCCAGACAATATCTGACAGGAATGCCCATGGAAAAGAAGGGGAGAATTGTGAATGTGTGCTGCACAGCACTGATGGAGTCACTAGTGTTATTGGACTAGGTGTCCAGTCCGTCAGCCAGTGGCAACAGTGCTTCACGTTTGAAGGGCGTTTACCAGGTAGTCGCTATGCTACCTTGGGATACAACAAGTTGCAGAAACTCCATCAACCTCTATTTTCTCACATGTAAAATAAAGATGATAGTAACAGAGCCCTCCTCCTGAAGCTGTTTTGAGGAACAGTACCTGGGAAAATATTCAATAAAAGATAGTTGATTTTAGGGGCTGGAGAGATGGCTCAGTGGCTAAGAGCACTGACTGCTCTTACAGAGGACCAGGGTTCGATTCCTAGCACCCACATGGCGGCTACGAACTGTTCTTAACTCCAGTTCCAGGGGGGTATGAAGCCCTCTTCTGACCTCTGCAGCATTGCACAACACGGGTGCACTCACATACATGCAGGCAATACACTCATACACATAAAATAAAAATAATCTTTTTTAAAAAGATAGTTGATTTTAATGTTTGCTGTGTCCACACACTGTCCTTCCATTTAAGTACAACTGATGGCCCTGACTTCAACTGTAACACTAAATACATGCATGTGTGTATGTGTGTGTGGTTCTTGGAGTTTCTGAAAATTGTAAGCTGTATTTAACCAAATAATAAAAATTAAATTATCACAAGGTAAAAATATAAAGAGTATGATGCTTCTTTTTAGAGACAGTAAAAAAAATAGTCTGGAATTAGTAATGATACAATTTTGCAAATATATCACAGTTCACTGATTTGTAATTCTTAAAAATAGTGAATTTTAGCCAGGCGTGGTGGCGCAAGCCTTTGATCCCAGCACTGGGGAGGCAGAGGCAGGCAGATCTCTGTGAGTTCAAGGCCAGCCTGGTCTACATAGTGAGTTCCAGGACAGCTGGGGCTACAGGGAGACCCTGTCTCAAAAAGACAAAAAAAATGAATTTTTTAGAAATAAAATTTTTCTTTCATTTAAAGATTTTACTTCAGAAAGGTGAGTTTATATTTTATGCCCATAACAAGCAACCGTTTAGTAGATTTAACAAAGAAAAAAAGGAAAAAAAGATTTCAATTTCATCTCGACTTCTGAGCATTGGTAGATAAAGTGGCAGAACTCTACCAGTTCTGTAGGGCAGGTGAGAGAGCAGGACATTGTTCTCCCTAGAACTGGTGATACTGGCACTGTTTCCTTCTGGCCAGAATCGTGTGTACATTTGGCAGCTAGTACCCCATTGTGGGGCAGAGATATGTGAGTGACTGATTAGGAGCTGCAGGAGAAACCACTGCACACAACCTAACCCAGCAAATGAATCTAGTTTGGGTTGAAGAAAAAAAAACACTCATGTACCACTCAAAAATCATGGCCCAGGGGCTGGAGAGATGGCTCGGTGGTTAAGAACACTGGTTGTTCTTGCAGAAGACCTGGGTTTGAATCCCAGCACCCACATGGCAGCTAGCAACTGTGCGTAACTCCAGTTCCAGAGGATTCGACAGCCTCTTCTGACCTCTGCAGGTGTTGCATGATGCAGGTGCACTTACCTACATGCAGGCAAAACACATATACACATAAAATAAAAATAAAATAAAATATTTTTTCAAAATCATGGCCCGTAGAGCTGAGAAAGGTGTAGTAGTAGGACACTTCTTCAAATCTCTCAGAAGGTCCAAATCCAAGTTGTACCTATGGCAGTAAATTCAGGGACACTGTTTGCCTTCACTTAGTCCTGCTCATCTACAGACAGGCAAGATTCTGTGTGAACACACATTTAGCACACACATCTATGGATGGGCCCCTGGTCTATCATAAGCATGCCATTGCACACAATCTATACAATATGCTGTGTGCCCTATGATGAGCATCTTCAGTTAGCAGATAAGAAAATCCAGGTGCAGAAAACAACGGGTTTTGTCTATACTCAATTAGCAAGTGTCAAAATGAGCAGTTGGACGAGGCAATGCAGCCTTCTCAATCCGTCTTCCTTGTTTATGAAGACAGAGTTATTTCTACAGGTGTGTTTAACACAACCAAAGTGTTCTGCAAGGTGTATTGGGCTTTCATGACTTATGGGATCTGTTTGTGGAGGGAGAATTTGAGAAAGATATAGAAAATAGAAAAAGATTCAGCAGGTGGAGCTGCGGGGTCCAGGACAGGGAGTGAGAACATGGGAGAAAGCATTTAGCAAGGAAGTCAAGGGATCCAGGGTACAGAGAAACACAGTCGGTTCCTCACCTCCACTGCCCATAAGTGCCATATGAAGGGAGAATAGGGGAGCAAGATGTGACAGGAAATATAAATCAAGCCATCCTTTGGAGGTCTTGAATGCCAGATCTGAGTCTGGACTTAACACAATGAACGAGAGTAATCATAGCATATGTGTGTGTGTGTGTGTGTGTGTGTGCATGCGTGTGTGTGTGTGTGTACGTGTGTGTTGTATTGTATTGTAGTTGTTACTCCATCTGCAGAAGCTAAAGCCACTCCATCTTAGTATGTAGTGTATGCATAAAGACAGTTTCCTTTATCTTTCTAAGTTACATCTTCTGTTCCTTTTGGAATGCTGTTTAAGTATGGGGTAAAGTAACCTGAAAGAATGAAATCTGTTGTGGAAACAAGATCAACACCCGAACATAAATTCCAGAATGTATAAAAGTTTCACAAGAGTGACAGGAAACTCAAGAAAGGAGCTGAGCTAGGAAGGCTTTGTGAAAGTTGAGAGCTAGGTCTTCATGTTCCTGGAATATGGAGATGGACAGTTAAAGCACTATTTACCCAGGAGGCTGAGTGGCTCTCTCAAGCCCATTCTGGAGTTGTACACACACATCAATCACTTAGGTCTGAGAGGAAATTTCAAGAGGGAAAGTGGTTTCCATCATTTTCTGATTCACTCTCAATATGTACTTCTTTTAAAATATTCTATCCCAAGTATGGCAGGAAAGGGTAAGAGGAAAAAGAAAAAAATAATTAGCTACCTCTTTGTTGATCTGGTATGTCTTGCTTTCCTTTATTCCAGGAGCAGTTTTCAATCTCTGGAAGCCTATAATAGATGTTAAATAGAAATAATAGCAGTACTTCTGTCTCTGCCAGGTCTGTGAGGATGCTGGCATTTCACTTGAATGGCCTGTTTAGATGGTGTGAAGATAAGTAGTAATAATGTTTCATCATCTATTAATTTCCATCTTTCATCTGACAGGCCCACAGCGTATTACAACATTGCTCCTTGCAACACCTCTGTGAAGAAGGGAGGTGAGGAATAACACTTCCCCATTTGAAAGCTGCAGAAACTGAGTCATAAAGAGGTCACGAGGAGCTGTTCAAGGTCATGCACCCTCAGCATGCAGAACTAGAAGCAAGTGCAATAATTTCTGCTGTGTCATCATTGGCAGTAAGCTGGCTGGAGTGTCCTCCATCTTCATGGCACAAATTTGATATTTGTAAACTTACACACCATGATCTAAACACAAAGGTTTACTGTTATTATTAATTATCCTAATCTTCATTAATATATAGTTTTGGACCATCCCATAACAAGCAAAAATTAGATGTCCCAAAGAGGAATTACCTGCCTCAAGGTGGTGGTGTGAAGTTTAATTGAATTAATTAATGTTTGTAAAACATTTAGCAACTCTCAGATTAAAGGGTCTAATATAAAGATACAAGGCCTCCCCATTAATTACAGAAGAAAAGAGCAAGCTAATCGCTGTCTTTGTTTCTCAGAGGAATTGCTCTCCTCCATCCCTGCTCGGTATTGGGTTCTGACCTGCAAGGTGGCTTGGGATGACGTGTTGCTCCATGTTCAGAAGAACACCACTTGCTTCCTGTTATTTCCAAAACTTAAAAATATAAAGCTGTTCACCAGGAACAAGGAAGTTCCTCTTCTCTGAAGAGTACCTTGTTTGGCAATTGTTAGGATCATTAGTCTCCGGTCATTAAGGACAGTCTGTAAAAACAGAAACCAAGAATCAGTCTTTCTGAAGAACCTCCATGCCAGTGTATTTAATTTTGAGAACTTTTAACTTAAAAATCTGAATACACAAAGCAGTACTTGCTGAGATATGACTAATAAAAATCAGAATCTAATGCCTAGCATGGGCTTCCTCATTC